ATATATATATAATACAGCCCTTTGCCGTTGTACACCAAATGGGTGGTTGGTGGGCGTTCTGGATGGGTTTGCTCCTCATTTCCTATCAAACATAATTTATTATGGTATTTCTCTCTCCTCCTTCTTTTCCGTGTATGATAGATATGACCGATTGTGTTGGAAGTGCTGTAAAACTCTGTGACTAAAGTTAATGCTTAACTTGTTCCTGACCAAAGAAAAAGAAAGGTATCAGTATCAGCGTTTTGGTGCTTTGCTATCCTACTCTTCTGGCGCAGTTTCTGAAGTACCGTACCAGTAAATTGGTTGGTTGCGACCATTTTTCTTCTTCTTTTTTTTTAAAACATAAAACATAATATTTCTTGTCCGGTCCTTTCGTCATTGTAACCTCCGAGTGCACCGGGATATTTCCCCCGGTATAAATCACTCGCACATGTTGTCTCGTTTGTTCATGTCACTCTGTTTTAGCTGAGCTTACTCAGCAATGACCTAGATGGCTGGCCTGAGGGGATGGCGGGCCGACTTTTTTATGCTTAGACAAGACGCAACGCAAAAACAGGGTTATGTCGTCTGCCGGCCAGGCGAATATGCTGGTGGTAATGAGCAGTGGTCGGCATCGCTTGACCGTGGCATGTCTTTTGTGTCCAGAGACCAAAACAAAAAAAAACCACCACCAAAAAAAAAGACCCCCCCCCACCCAAACAAAAACAACGACAACAAAAAAGCGCCATTTGATGAGAGTGGTTTGTAGGTACAAGCAGTTTGCAGGTAGTCGCTGATGGTGTGTCTACTCTTTCATCTCTTCTCTGCTCATCCGGCTGTCCGAATCTGCTTGCTTGCGGAATAATATTCTTTTATGGCTGGTGCCGTTCTGATTGGTCTTGAACTACAAGTGGGCTTTTGGCTTCTCTGACCGTCATCTGTGCTTTCTCTGACCGCCGTCTGTGCTTCTCTGACCGCCGTCTGTGCTTGTCTGACCGCCGTCTGTGGTGCAGCTGTAGGCCGCTTTGCCGTCGCACGCAGGAGACCCAACCCCCCTCCCCCCACCCCCT